AGCACCTTAACATGTAAAGTGAATATTAATAGACCTAGATGGAGAAAGAAGCTCTGATATAGTAACAGGGAACTCTGATACCCCACTTTCAGCAATGGACAGATCATGCAGATAGAAAATCAACAAAGAAACAGCAAAGTTTAAACTATATCCTAGACTAAGAGGACCTAACAGACATCTACAGAACATTCGACTCAGTAGCTGCAGGATACACATTCTTCTCAACAGCACATGGAACAGGACATATGGTATCATATGGTAGGTCACAAAACAGGTCTCAACAAACTTTTAAAAATTGAAATCATATCAAGTATTTTTTTTTGAGATGGAGTCTCTGTTGCCTAGCCTGGAGTGCAGTGGCACAATCTCAGCTCCACGTTCCCTCCCCGGTTCAAGCAATTCTCCTGCCTCAGCCTCACATGTAGCTGGGATTACAGGCACGCACCACCATGTCCAGCTAATTTTTTTGTATTGTTAGTTGGGATGGGGTTTCGCCATGTTGGCCAGGCTGGTCTTGAACTCCTGACTGGAAGTGATCTGCCTGCCTCAGCCTCCCAAAGTGCTGGGATGACAGGCATGAGCCACCATGCCTGGCCATTCAAGTATCTTTTCTGACTACCGTGCAATACAACTAGATATCAATAACAAGAACAACTTAGGAGACTTATACAAATAATGTGGAAATTTAACAACATGCTCATGAACAACCAGTTAGTCAATGAAGAATTAAGGAATTAGAAAATTTGTTGAGGCAAATGACAGTGGAAACACAACATACCAAAACTGGGATTCTGCAAAAGCAGCACTAAGAGGGATGTGTATAGCAATTAACATCTACGTCGAAAAAGCAGGAAGAACTCAACCTATTGTTGCATCTCAAGAAACTAGCAAACCAGGACAAACAAAACCCAGAATTAGTAGAAGGAAAGGAATAATAAAGATCAGAGCGGAAATAAATGAAATAGTGTCTGGAAAAAATAAAAATAAAAGATGAACAAAAGTTGTGTTTTTGTTTTTTGTTTTTTTTCAAAAGATAAAATTAACAAACCTTTAGCTAGACCAAGGGGGGAAAAGGACTCAAATAAATAAAATCGGAGACAAAAAGCAGACGTTGCAACTGAGTACAGAAATACAAAGAATCACTAGGAGCTATTACAAATAACTGTGCCAACAAGTTGGAAAACCTGGAAGAAATGAATAAATTTCTGGACACATACAGCCCACCAATGCTGAATCATGAAGAAACAGAAAAGCTGAACAGACCAATAATGAGTAATGAGATTGAATCAGTAATAAGTCTCCCATCAAAGAAAAACCCAGGACCAGATGTCTTCACTGCTGAATTCTACCACACATTTAAAGAACTAATACGAGTTCTTCCCAAATTATTCCGGAAAATTGAAGGAGAGAGAATTCTTCCAAACTCATTCCACAAGGCCAGCATTATCCTGATACCAAAGCTAGAGAGGGATACAAGAGAAAAAAACTACAGGCTGGTATCCCTGATGAATATAAATGCAGAAATTCTTCACAAAATACTAGCAAACCAAATCTAATAGCTACACATTAAAAAAAAAAAGTCAGAAGATAGCAAGTGTTGGTGAGGATGTGGAGAAAAGGGAACTTTTACACACTGCTGGTGGGAATATAAATTAATACAACCATTATGGAAAACAGTTTGGAGGTTCTTCAAAAAGTTAAAAATAGAACTACTATGTGATCAAGCAATCCCAATACTCAATATATATCCAAAGGAAATGAAATCAGTGTATCAAAGAGATATCTGCACTCCCCTATTTATTGCAGTGCTATTCATGATAGCCAAGATATGGAATCAGCTTAAATGTCCATCAGCAGCTGGGCACGACGGCCCATGCCTGTAATCCTAGCACTTTGGGAGACTGAGGTATGCAGATTGCTTGAAGCCAGGAGTTCGAGACCAGCCTGGCCATCATGGTAAAACCCCGTCTTACTAAAAATACAAAAATTAGCCAGGCATGGTGGCCTGTACCTGTAATCCCAGCTACATCAGAGGCTGAGGCAGGAGAATCCCTTGAACATGGGAGGCAGAGGTTGCAGTGAGCCAAGATCATGCCACTGCACTCCAGCCTGGGCGACAGAGTGAGACTCTGTCTTAAAAGTCCATCAACAGGTTAATGGCTAAAGATAATGGGGTATATATACACTATGGAATATAATTCAGCATTAAAAATGAATGAAATTCTTTCAGTTTTGGCAACATGGATGAACCTGGAAGGTGTTACATTCAGTGCAATAAGCCAGGCACAGAACGACAGCTGTCACACTGTCACATGCTGTTACTCGTGTAATCCAAAAAGTTGTTCTCGTGGAAGTACAGAGTTGAGCAGTGGTTGCCAGAGGATGTGGGGGTAGGAGGAAGAAGGGGATGGAGAGAGATTGGTCAGCAGGTGCAAAGTTACAGTTGGATATGAGGAGTAAGGTCTGGTGTGCTGTGGCGTAAGATGACGAGTGTTAGCAGTGTGTGGTATATTTCAGAATAGCTGGAAGAGAGGTTTTTTAATGTTCTCATCACAGGAAATGATAAATATTTAAGGTGATGGATAAGCTGATTACTCTGTTGTGATCAATGCACAATGTATTCATGTACCAAAATAACCCACTGTGCACTATAAATTGTACAATTATGTATCAATCAAAATTTTTTTATAAGGTGAAGACACTAAATAGAGTAGCTACGTAAATCAAATTTTTTCAAAAGTTTACTTTTCTTTTATATGAGCAGATACCAAATGTAGATTGTTTGGTGTGTCTTAGAATAAAAGCCACATTCTTTTGTAACTTTGACTCCTCAGGGACATTTCTTGTGAGGAAGGGAAAGTCTTTGGCGTTGTCCAGAGGAAATTATAGTTGTTAGTGCTCAAAGTTTCTTTTTTTTTTTTTTGGAGATGGAGTCTTGCTCTGTTGCCCAGGCTGGAGTGTGCAGTGGCGTGATCTTGGCTCACTGCAACCTCTGCCTCCCACGTTCAAGTGATTCTCCTGCCTCAGCCTCACGAGTAGCTGGGATTACAGGCATGTGCCACCACACCCAGCTAGTTTTTTTGTGTTTTTAGTAGTGACGGGGTTTCTTCATATTGCTCAAGCTGGTCTCAAACTCCCGACCTTGTGATCCGCCCACCTCAGCCTCCCAAAGTGCTGGGATTATAGGCGTGAGCCACTACTCCCAGCATGCTCAAAGTTTCTAAGATGTCAATGCTGTTTCTATAATTTTGGAATCAAAGCCCTAGGATGACAGAGTACTTAATGTTTGCTTATGGGATTTATCATGATCTTGTTTTGTTTTGTGACAGTCTCACTCTCGTTGCTCAGGCTGGAGTATGATGGCGTGATGTCAGCTTACTGCAATCTCTGCCTCCTGAGTTCAATTGATTCTCCTTTCTCAGCCTCCCGAGTAGGTGGGATTACAGGCGTGTGTTACCACACCCAGCTAAATTTTGTATTTTTTGGTAGAGATGGGAGTTTGCCATGTTGGCCAGGCTGGTCTCGAACTCCTGACCTCAGGGGGTCCATCTGCCTTGGCCTCCCAAAGTGCTGGGATTACAGGCCTGAGCCACTGCGCCTGGCCTCATGATGTTCTTTAACAGTTAACCTTGTAGGATCCATACAGAATGAATCAGAACACAGGTATGCAGAGTCACTTCATGAGTCAGACTGATTCTCAGGCCTGTGAGACCGGATTGTAACCTGTTGGTGTGTGAAAACGATGTCACTTAAGAAATCTTTCTTCCTCAGGCTAGTTAGCTCTGAGGAAGAATGAAACATAGGATATGCAGAGTCACTGAGCAAAAGTTGGCAGTTTGTTGGCCTCTGCAATGGCCGTTTCTTACAGTAAAACCATAAGTGACATTTTAGTGACCACCTTTGTCCTAGAGCTTCTATTCTTTACTATGCTGTAGTTAGTGCTTGGAAATATTGTAAATCAGAAATTGTTTTTGGCCTTTTTTGTTTGGCAAAAGATGTCTGGTTCTGAGTGGATGCCTTCATCTTTTTGTATGTTGTGCAGGTACTGTCATTGTTAAGAAATAGATCTTACAATGGGCACGGTGGCTCACACCTGTAATCCCAGCACTTTGGGAGGCCGAAGTGGGCAAATCACCAGGTCAAGAGATTGAGACGATCCTGGCCAACATGGTGAAAACCTGTCTCTACTAAAAGTAAATTAGCTGGACATGATGGCACGTGCCTGTAGTCCCAGCTACTCGGGATACAGGCAGGAGAATCCCTTGAACCCGGGAGGCAGACGGTGCAGTGAGCTGAGATTGCCCCACTGTACTCTAGTCTGGTGACAGAGCAAGACTCCATCTCAAAAAAAGAAAAAAAAAAGAATGAGAAATGGATCTTAGGCCGAGTGTAGTGGTTTATATCTGTAATCCCAGCTCTGGGAGGCTGAGGTGGGAGGATCACTTGAGGCCAGGAGTTGGAGACCAGCCTGGGCAACATAGTGAGACCTCATCTCTATAAAAAATTTAAAAATTAGCTGGGTATGACGGTATGACCTGTAGTTCCCAGCTACTTAGGAGGCTGAGGTGGGAGGATCACCTGAACCTGGAAGGTTGAGGCTGCAGTGAGCTGTGATCGTGCCACTGCACTTCAGCCTGGGAGACAGAGGAAGACCTTGTCTCAAAAAATAAAAATGGATCTGAACAGGTTATACCCCTATAAACTTAGGGTTATAAGCTACTTATGTGAGGATTGAGTGAGATAGTAGATGAAATCACTTTACGAAGCATAATGTACCATTTGAATGTGAGGGTTTTTGGTTTTTGCTTTTTGTCTTTATATTAGTATTGTTCACAACTTTAATTCTCTCAGAGTTGAATCTTCCTCCAAGTAAAAATTAACAGGGAAGAGAATGCTAGAATGTGGGGGCAGGAGGCTCCTCGGCTTAGACTTTCTTTGATATGATCAAGATCAGGTACAACAAAGGTAACTAACCATTGGTGTAATTGATGCCCTTGCAGGAGGGAGCACTGGCAGTTGCTGGGTAATTTGAAGACGACAGTGGAAGGCTTGGTATCAGCCAACAGCCCCAACGTCTGGTCCAAGTGTGGTGGCTTGGAGCGGCTTTGCAGGGACATGCAGAGCATCCTCTATCACGGGCTTATCCATGACCAGGTACGCAGAACTCCTTTTTTTGCCATATTGGCTGACTCACTTGTTGAAAAGAAACAGTCACATTGGCAGGAAGGAGATGAAGGTCACTAGTCTGTGAACTCCTGAGAGCAGCTGTGACTTAATACATACAGTTTTGTATACAGAACATTTCACATAGTGTCTGATGTACCATAGATGTTAATGAAATGAATAAATCACTGGGTAGGACAGCAAATCAGCAACAAGAGATTAGGCCAGCTTTCAAGTTTCCTGCTGTTGTTATAACAGATAACCACAGATAATGACTTGAATCAACACAGGTTTATCGTCTTGCAGTTCTTGAGATCAGAAGTCCAGAATGAGTTTCACGGGGCTGAAACCAAGGTGTCTGCAGGGCCTCACTCCCTCTGGAGGCTCTGAGGGAGAATCCATTTCCTTGCCTTTTCCAGCTTCAGTAGGTACCTGCATTCTTTGGCTCTTGGCCACTTCCTGCATCTTCAGAGCCAACAGCATAGCACCTTCAAATCTCTCTCTGCCCCCTTTTTTGTTTGTTTTTTGAGACAGAGTCTCACTCTGTCACCCAGGCCGGAGTGCAGTGACACAGTCATGGCTCTCTACAGCCTGGACCTCCCGGGCTCAAGCAGTCCTCCCACCTCAGCCTCCCAAGTATCTAGGGCTGCAGGCGCCCACCACCACAACCAGCTAATTTTTGTATTTTTTGTAGTGACAGGATTTTACTATGTTACCCAGGCTGGTGTTGAATTCCTGGTCTCAAGCGATCCTCCTGCCGTAGCCTCCCAAAGTGCTGGGATTACAGGCGTGAGCCACCGTGCCTGGCTCTCTCTGCTTTTACATCCCTTTCTCTCCTTGTGACCATTCCTACCTCTCTCCTAAAAGGACTCTTAGAATTACGTCGGGCCCTTGTGGATAACCCAGTATAATCGCCCCATCTCAAAATCCTTAATTTAAATACACCTGCAAGGTCCCTTTTGCCATAAAAGGTAACATTCACAGGTTCTGGGAATTAGGATGTAGACATTTTGGAGGATCAATCTTGGCCAACTACAGCCAGGAAGCTCTTTCTTCTGAATATTAGTTTTGGTTTCGAAACCATGCTGTTTTTTTCAGAAGTAGGCAGGATAAAGGAAGAAAAACAGCCAAGGCAAAAATACATTCTTTTACTTCTGACTTTTGCATGAAATATTTCTACAGAGTGAGAAGGTGGCCAGGTGTGGTGGCTCACGCCTGTAATCCCAGCACTTTGGGAGGCCGAGGGGGACAGATCTCTTGAGGTCAGTTCAAGACCAGCCTGCGCAACATGGCGAAACTCTGTCTCTACTAACATTAAAAAATTAGCCGGGCACATACCTGTAATCCAAGCTATTCAGATGGCTGAGGCAGGAGAATCACTTGAACCCTGAGGCGCAGTGAGCTGACATCGTGCCACTGCGCTCCAGCCCTGGCAACAGAGTGAGACTGTATCTCAAAAAATAAAAATAAAAAAAGAATGAGAAGGTGAAACTCCATGTGCTCAGTTACATTAAAAGTACTTTCCTGGCCGGGTGCAGTGGCTCACGCCTGTAATCCCAGCACTTTGGGAGGCTGAGGCGGGCGGATCACAAGGTCAGGAGATTGAGACCATCCTGGCCAACATGGTGAAACCCCATTTCTACTAAAAATACAAAAAAAATTAGCTGGGCATGGTGCTGCATGCTTGTAGTCCCAGCTACTCAGGAGGCTGAGGAAGGATATTGCTTGAACCCAGGTGGCAGAGATTGCAGTGAGCTGAGATCGCACCATTGCACTATTGCCTGGGCGACAGTGTGAGATTCTGTCTCAAAAAAAAAGTACTTTATTATGGGAAATCCTTTTACCTAGAAGACAGTGTGTTCCAGTGATAATTAATTGCTTAAGCACGATAAGATTGGTGTAATTAGAATTAACATCTCTTTCCTGAAACAAAATAAGCAGTTCTTCCGGTGATTCTTTTTGGATTTAGAATTTTCATCCTGTTCCCTAAATTTAGACTTTTGTTATTACTATCTTTACTTCAAATTAGTAATAGGAAGAAAGAATTATGCACTTTGCTTGTAGGGATCCTCAAAATATATGTGAAAACTAGCAGGCATCAAAGTGACTACGGAAAAGAGGAGTTAGTGGTTAACTCATGTTAACTACAACACGAGCGGTTAATAGGTAGTGTGGCTCAGGGTAGAGCCAGACTGCCTGGATTTAGTTTTCAGCTCCTTCATGTATTTGCTAACCTTGGGCAAAATGCTTAACGTCTCAGAGCTTTGATTTTCTCACCAGTAAATGAGGTAGCATCTGTCTACCTCCAGGGCTGTTAACATTGAGGGCTAAATGAGTTAATGTCTGTAAAAGCATTCAGAGAATTGGAAGAGCTATCCAAGTATGTGCTATGATGAGGAGGAGGAAGACACAGTGACTCATTAGAATTTTCTTCCTAGCATCCTAGGACACATCCAAGAAATATTTATAAAATATTGTCATATTAGAATGCTCTTTGAGTTTTACTTTATAGATACCTTGTTGACGCTTATGAATGGTAGTTTGATTGTAGCTTAAATTTTTACAATGTAAACTTTATTGATGTTGAGTTTCTTTTTCTTTATATGCTCAAAAACTCTAATCAGCTTTGAGCTTTGAAATGAGTGGAATCTAGTAATACTTAAAGGTTTCTGTTTTCTCTTTGGCAGTTACTCCATTTGCAGTGTTTTAAATAAATTTTGGTTTTGGATAAAATTTGAAGTGAGTCATTGGGGTTTGGTATCCTCCTATTTAAAAAAAAATCAGACCTCACAAAAACAGAGCTAATTGCGTGTTCTCAAACACTCATGTCCCCTGTCACGGCCTTGTATAGTTCCTTGAACTCTAAGCTCATCTTTCTTTTTTATCAGAATTTATTCTCAGTTAGCAATCACATTGGAAAAGAGCTAATCAACTACATGGTATTAAAGTACGTATACTTGGCTCGGTGTGGTGGCTCATGTCTATAATTCCAGCGCTTTGGGAAGTTGAGGCAGGAAGATCACTAGAATTTTGAGGCCAGGGGTACAAGACCAGCCTGGGCAACACAGTGAGATCCCTATCTCTGTAAAAAATTTAAAAACTAGCCAGACATCTTGGTGTGTGCCCATGGACTCAGCTAGTCAGGAGGCTGAGGTGAGAGGCTTGCGGAAGCCTGGGGGGTTCTCAG